TCTGATTTACTTAGCATAATGCCCTTGAGGTCCATCCATGTTGTTGCAAATGGCACAGTTTCATTCTTTTATGGCTGATTAGTATTACGTGTGTGTGTGTGTGTGTGTGTGTGTGTGTGTGTGTGTGTTACATCTTCTTTATCCATTGATCCACTGATGGAGCTTCAATTGTTTCCATGGCTTAGCTATTGTAAATAATGTTACAGGGCACCTGGGTGGCTCAGTTGGTTAAGCATCTGACTTCGGCTCAGGTCATGATCTTGTGGTTTGTGGAATGAGCCCTGCGTCAGGCTCTGTGCTGACAGCTTGGAGCCTGGAGCCTGCTTCAGATTCTGTGTCTCCCTCTCTCTCTGCTCCTCCCCCACTCATGCTCTGTCTCACTCTGTCTCTCAAAAATAAACATAAAAAAAATTAATGCTGCAATGAACACAGTGGTGCACATATCTTTTCAAATTAGTGTTTCTGTTTTCTTCACAGAAACTGGAATTGCTGGATCATATGACAGTTCTATTTTTAACTTTTTGAGGAACCTCCACACCGTTTTCCATGGCGGCTGCACCACTTTACATTCCTATCAGCAGTGCACGAGGGTTCCTTTTCTCCACATCTTCGCCAACGATGGTTATTCCTTTGACAGTTTGATTTTGATATGGTTGAGGTACTTGAGGTTCGTTGAGCTTCTTGATGTGTAGGTTAATGTTTTTCATCCTGTCTGGGAAGTTTTCAGCCATTATTTCTTCAGATAGTCTTTTGCCCTTTCTTTTTCTTCTGGAACCCCAATTACACGTATGTTGGTACACACATGTTCACACAATGCTACATACGCGTATGACCCTGTGGATTCCAAGGAATGTGTTGGAGTTTTTCAAAGCTCTATAAACGTTTCATTCTACAGATTTGCCTTTGAAACTTTTTGGTTAGCCTACTGTTTACCCCAGCCGTTATCCATCACTTTAGGCATAAAGTGACGTAGTTGCCTCTAGTTGTTGTTGACAAACCTACCAGGGTAAAAGGTTTTTCACACTGAGTGAGCTCCAAGATAGGCCAAATCAAGAGAGTTTTGTCAGTGGGGCCTGTCAGGAAATTAGCAGACAGATGAAATAATAACAGTTCTCTGGGGGTGAGGTTTTGAAGGTGTTCTAATCCTGTTTTGTCCCCTCCCGTGGTTGGCAGGTTTGTAGTTTTCACTACAATTGGAGACTCTTTTTTTTTTTTTAATTTTTTTTTCAATGTTTATTTATTTTTGGGACAGAGAGAGACAGAGCATGAACGGGGGAGGGGCAGAGAGAGAGGGAGACACAGAATCTGAAACAGGCTCCAGGCTCTGAGCCATCAGCCCTGAGCCCGACGCGGGGCTCGAACTCACGGACCGCGAGATCATGACCTGACTGAAGTCGGACACTCAACCGACTGCGCCACCCAGGCGCCCCTACAATTGGAGACTCTTGGTTTTCAAGGCCACCACAGAACTGGTCGGAGTGTACATTAAAATGACACACAGTTGGGGCTCCTGGGTGGCTTGCTTTCTGAAGTGGGATTAGGGAACCAGTAAGGCACAGGCTGTGACTTGTTATTAAGAAATCAAGGGGCACATGGGTGGCTCAGTCGGTTAAGCATCCAACTCTTGCTTTTGGCAAAGGTCATGATCTCATGGTTTGTGGGATCAAGCCCCCCATCAGGCTCAGCATTGACAGCACAGAGCCTGCTTGGGATTCTCTCTCTCTCTCTGCCCCTCCCCCACTCATTCTCTCTCTCTCTCTCTCTCTCTCTCTCTCTCTCTCAAAATAAATAAACTTAAAAAAAAAAAAAAGGAAATCAGTATTGGGGCACCTGGGTAGCTCAGTTAGTTGAAAGGCTGATCTTGATTTTGGCTCCGGTCATGATCCCAGAGTTGTGGGATCCAGCCCCACACTGGACTCCATGCTGAGCATGGAGCCTGCTTAAGGTTCTTTCTCGCAGGAGCTCCTGGATTCAGTAGGTTGGGTGGCCGATTTCAGCTCAGGTCATTATCTCACGGTTCATGAGCTTGAGCCCCGCGTCGGGCTCTGTGCTGACGTTCAGAGCCTGGAGCCTGCTTCACATTCTGTGTCTCCCTTTCTCTCTGTTTCTCTCTCTCCCTCTCTCTCTCTCTCTCTCTCTCTCTCAAAAATAAATAAACATTAAAAGATTCTCTTTCTCTGCCCCTCCCCACCCCTCTCTCCCCCGGTGCTCTCTCTCTCTCTAAAATAAAAAAAAAGAAATCAGTATTGAGAGTTACAATTTTGAACAGTACATTTTGTTTGCCACCAATCTCCTGGACTCCCAGCTCCCCTCCAACTAGTCGGGAGTTTGTATTAGTCCTTTCCATTCACATCCACTCTGGATGGGGCAAGGCCCAGAGTAAGCCCAGGTCATAAGCTTCCATTGCACCCACTCAGGGTCTAAGAGAACAGATCCCAGTGCCTGCCTTGACTCACCCATTTCTTTTCTTTCTTTGTCAACTCTTTTTTTCTTTGCCTTGGATTACCTAAAGCTGAGTTCATTGAGATCTCAATAAGGTCATATTGTAATTGCAAATTCACAACAGGTTTTCAGTTCAACCGGATGAATTTTCATGGTGCTCACAGAGGATGCACTCACCGAGGGCATCTCAATGGAATTGCAGTTTGATAACCAAACAGAAGCACAATGGAAGATTGTGGTGATTAATACAGCCCCATTCACAGCCACCCAAAGATAATCCACTGTTCCCTGTGATTTGAATCCATCAGAAGGAAAGGCAGGGAAAGAAAGGATTTGGTTCCAGCAATTGGAATAATTCTAGGTTTATCTCATGGTGTGTGTTTGGGTTACTGAGGTTAAAAAACTCCTGGTTGGACCTTGAACCCCATGGGAAGCTGCTGCCTGTCCTCTCCTTTGCCTTTGGAGGCTTCCCCACTAGAACACAGCAGATCGCTATTGCTAAGCACACCCTCCCCACCCTTCGCTGACACTCCAAAAATAACCTCTGCTGAGACCTTCCTTTCACACACATGCATGTGCAGAGTCAGGCGCACGCGCGTGCACACACACACACACACACTCACAGAAATAGCTCTAGCCTCTGCCTTTGTCCTCTACTTTGAACTTTTTCTCAGGCTTCCCCACTGGTCTTCCTTTAGCTGTATACCTGAATTCTTTCTCTCTATAACATGGTTAACAGATGTCTATCACTAGACCATCAGGTTTCATTAAATTTTCAAAATTTAATTAAACACTTTTTGGAGATAGTTATAGATTCACATGCAGTGGTAAGAAATAACACAGGGAGATACCATGTGTTCTTCACCAGGTTTCTCCCAGTGATATAACATTTTGCAAAACTATGGCACAAATGGCAGCCAGGATATTGACACTGGCATAATCCCCGGATCGTACCCAGAGGTCCCCTGTCTCACATGTATGCATTTGTGTGTGCACGTTTAGTTCTATTTTATCACGAGTGGCGGTTTGCCTATCAATCACCATCTCTCATGTTAGTTTTGTATAACCCCACCCATCTCCCTCTCCCCACTCCCTCCTCAGCTCCCCAACCTAACCACTGATTTGTTCTCCATCGCTATAATTTTGTCGTTTTCAGGAGTGTTTTATAAATGAACTCATAAGGGGAGACTGGGTGACTCAGTGGGTTAAGCATCCAACTTAGGCTCAGGTCTTGGTCTCCCGGCTTGTGGGTTCGAGCCCATGTCGGGCTCTAGGCTGACTGCTCAGACTGGAGACTGTTTTGGATTCTGTGTCTCCCTCTTTCTTTGACCCCTCCCCCATGCTTTCTCGCAAGCGCTCTCTCTCTCTCTCACTCACTCTCTCAAAAATAAACATTAAAAAATGATCTCATAACATATGTAACCTTTTGGGAATAGCTTTTTTCACTCAGCCTAATTCCCCTCTGATCCACCCAAGGTTTTCTGTATATCAGTGGTATCTACCTGAGTAGCATTCCCAGGTATAGATGGATATTTGATTTAACTGTTTACCCAGCGAGTATCTGGGATATTCAGGATATCTGGGTTTCCAGTTTGGGACTAATTGGAATAAAGCTGCCATGAACATTCATATACAGGCTTTTGTGTGAACATAAAACCTATGTTTTCATTTCTCTGGGATAAGTGCCCAAGAGTACAGTTGCTGGGTCATGTGGTAATTGCATGTTTAGATTTATAAGAAACTACCAAATGTTCTCCAGAGTGATTGTATCTACCAGCAATGTGTGAGTGATCTAGTTTCTCTGCATCCTTGCCAGCAATTGGTATTATCACATTTTAAAAAAAACTTTAGCCATTCAGTAGGTATACAGTGAAATCTCATTCACTCATGAAAAATCTAATTTTAAAAATCTATTTAATATTTTAACTTTTATTGATTACTTGCACAGCTTTCATAGATTTTTATTTTTTAGGAGCTTATTTACAACTGAACAATTGTGTGAAGCACTGAAAAATTTCAAATAGTATTTCACATAATTTCATTTCACTCATTTGGTCACACATTTTTCAATATGCTAAAAATTCTATCAGTGCCGGCTTTTCAGCCATGACTTGATGTACAATATTGAAACCCTTTCAACAATTGTCAACTCAAAAGTTAACATGACATATACTGACTGTATGAATAACGTAGTCAAATGACTATTCCGGCCTTTGTGGGCCTATTATAAAGGGAATTGCTTTGTCCACATACCAATTATGTTTCTGTACATATAAAATAGTTTTCTTTTTTTAAAGGTATATATTTACTTATTTATGAGACAGAGCAAGGGTGAGCGGGGGAGGGGCAGAGGGTGAGCAAGAATCCCAAGCAGGCTCCAAGCTGTTAGCACAGAGTCCAACGCGGGGCTCAGTCTCACAAACCTTGAGATCATGACCTGAGCCGAAGGCAAGAGTCAGCCGCTTAACCGACTGAGCCATCCAGGTGCCCCGTAAAATATTTTTCTAATTAAAAACTTCAACTATGAAAAAATAGACACCTGGCTATTTCTCTTCCAGCCCTTCCGAAATGAGGATTCACTTAAGCTGCCTCCCTGATTCCATACTCCGTGCAGGCCATGTCCTACCCCAGCTTTCAAGCCGTCGTACCTGTACCTCAGAGAGAAAAAAGAGGTAAGGGGGGGAAGGCCCAGTGTTTCAGGCTCCTATTTGTCTGGGAGGGGAATCTGACATTTTTAGCAGAAGACTAAAACGTTTACTTTGAAAAAAGTAGAGACCCAGTTGCCTAGATACTGTCAGGAATACAGATCATTGAATCTGTGGGTGGCCTTAGTTGCTTTGTCCCTATCTGAGTGTCCAACGTGTTTAGGGGAAAATGAGACCGCTCTAACAAACAACCCATACCTGCTTGGGCTTTCTCTGTGGCCCTCTGGGTGTGTAGGTGTGTGCATCACATACCCCCACATATGCAGGTAATGAATAGCTTAGTATAAAAACTCTGCAACAAATATCAATTCTGTAAATTACCAGGGAGTCCTAATTGGGTTTGCTAGCAAAGCAACTTCTCTAAAGACTATAAATAGTAGGCACGTGCCTCCGTAAGCAGTGCAGCTATTTCTTTTTTAATAAGGGATTCTCATGTTACAAGGACATCACAGATTACTGAATAATTTATTTGATGGTACATGGTATGAGCTTCAGTCTTTGCCAGTGAGCTCATGGCCAAATGTCTAAAGAAGATAAGGTGAGCAAAAGCTAGAGCTCAGGCTTGGGTGAGCTGCTTATTTTTTTTATTAGATATGTATGGCTATTATAGCCCTGTACACATATTTTACTTGATATGATCTCAGCTTCAAAGGTTGTAAATAGAATAGAGGCACCACTTTATTACTGACATTTAGCTAACTCATAACAATGCACTCAACACACAGCACTGAGAAATAAAGAAGAGAATGATGACCTCGTCTACACTTGGTGATTTTAACAAAGGGCTGTGACGTGTAGGGGAGTGTTTGTTCTCTATGAAAATGTAGGGAACCAAGAGAGGGCAAAATTCAATAAGAGGATGTTAGATTTGGAAAATGGAAATAAGAAAAAAAGATGTTGATGGCTATTTTTCTGTGAACCTCTATTGTTATCTTTTCAATGATTTGGAGTTGAAAAACAATTACTTCTAAGCTTACAGATCTTCGACCATTTGCCTCGAAGTATATACAACTCTCAGGTGAGCACAGGTAGCTTGGAAGACAGGTACCCTTGCCTGTCAAACGTAATTTTGATGAAGATTAAATTTGTTTAAAAAGAAAATTTAAATTTGACGGTAGAAAGATGGCAAAAGGCTGGAACAGGTACATAACATAAGAGGAAATTTATGTGGACAAAAAGTGTGGCAAAGGGTGCTTTGTTTCACTGACCGGTTAAAATTTTCAAGTCCGACTTCAGCTCAGGTCATGATCTCACGGTTTTTGAGTTTGAGCCCCGCGTCAGGCTTTGTGCTGACAGCTCAGAGCCTGGAGCCTGTGTCAGATTCTGTGTCTCCCTCTCTCTCTCTCTGTCCCTCCCCTGCTTGCACTCTGTCTCTGTCTCTCTCAAAAATATTTAAAAAAAATTTTTAAGAAAATAGTAAGTGCTAATTAGAATGAAGAATAATGAGAGCAACTGCCAGGGGGAGTTGGCATTGAAGCAATGATTTTAGAAAGTAGTTGCCGATATCAACTGAGGTTGAAGATTCGCACACTTCGTTCCCCGTTGAAGAAATGCCACTATGGGAAAATGCCCTAGAGGTGGCTGTATATTCTATGCACCGGGACATACGCAAAAATGTTTTTAGAGACATTGCTCAGAATAGTGCCAAGCTGGAACCCAAATGTCCACCCAGCATAGAAAGACTAAATAAGAGCTACAGCCACTGTATCAGTGAATTTTACAGATCTCAAGACACAAATACACAGAGTGAGGGTTCATTGGCAGAAGGCTCCTAAACAGGCAGAACTAAACTCTGTCGTTTAGGGGTGCATATAGAGACAGTGAAAGTATAAAGACAAGCACGGAAATAATTATAACAAAAGTCAAGATAGTGGATACTTTGACGAGAAGGGAAGTATTGTGACCAAGAATATTGAGACTTCTACACACCAGAAATGTTCTTTCTTCACCTGGCTGTGGTTCCGCTGATTTTCACTTTATAATTGTTTATTGAACTGGGTACTGATGTTTAATGCACTTTTATGTATGTAGGTTATAGTTCACACCCACCTGGCCACGCAAAATGCTTTCTAACCGTACCATTAAATGCTAAAAGATCAGGATTTTAAAAAAGAAACTCCTGAGTTCAATGTAATGCCATTAAAAAAATAAACTTTAAGTATTAAAAAATAAATTTAAGTGCAAGTTCAGCTGAATGAACATTTGAAACAATAAGCCAACTCTTCCTACGTAGTTCCACAAGAGCATTCTGTAACGCCTGTGGGGAAGTCAGGCCGGAAGAGAGGAGATCTCCAGAGCACTGGCCGCCAGAGCAGAGGCCCCTCCCAGCCAGCCCTGATGCTCAGCAGCTGTTTCCCTGGGCAATTCTCTGGGCCTCGTTCCTCATCTGTAAAGAGGATCAGACCGGATTAGAACTCCTCTGAGAGTCTCCTACTATATTCTTGGGAGTTCTCTGTGGAAACTTAAAAAAAAAATTTTTTTATAGAAATTCTTTTCGTTTTGACAAGTATCTGAAGAATATGAGCATCATCTGGGACATCTGTAGGTCCGCCTTAGAACTGACAGTGCTACCTTCACTCTGGGTTTATGACTATATTGGGGCCAGATGTGCCATTTTGTCCTGAGCCAGTAAGAAGAAAACATAGGTGACCTTAATGAGTAAAGTCTGCATTTGCCAAATGACCTTATGAAAGACTCACAACCAAAGTTTTCACAGTTTGAAGGGACAATGTTGTGTGAGATTTGAGTCATGGGACAATGCCTGACCCAAAGAAGGGACTAGGCACTCGAGTAACAAAGCAAGGGGCAGTTTCCTCCACAAAAATCACCCCATCTGCCTCCTTAAGTTAACGTTGTTACCTCTTACTGGTTTCCTATTTGGTTTGTCAAAATTGTGAATTTGTTTTGATTTAGTAACTATTGAAGTTACAAGCCCATGGGACGTATGCCCAGTTTCATGTTTGTACACATTTAGCTATCAGTCTTATAAAAGTAATTTACATCAACACTGGAAATCCTCAGAAAGTATTTTCTTGAAGGCACCACATGTTATTTGAATTTAAGCCACACTGAACCTTATGAACTCCACTAGCCCTCCTGTGACTTTTGTTTCCATTTTGGAAGTCAAGCCCTTTCCAGAGCCAGTGTGAGGCTGCCTGGGATCCAACCCTTTTCCTAAGTAGCAGTAACTCTCATTGGCAGGCAATTTTGCTTTCTGGGGACATTTGAAAGTGTTTGGAGACACTTTCCATTGTCACAGCTGGAGTTGGGGGCTAGTCAACGGAGGCCAGGGATGCTACTAAACGTTGTATAGAGCACAGGACAGCCGCCATTGGAAAGAATTATCCAGGCCGTAAATGCCAATAGTTCCCAGGTTGAGAAACCCTGATTTCATTCTCTACAGCTTTAACTTCTATATGAAGAAAATTTTCTGGGTCTTTTCCCAGTTAATCAGAGTAAGGCAGTAGTAGTCTCCTATGACTTATCTTTCACAGCACCTGTTTCCTTCCACACAGGCAAGCAAGCAAAAACAATCCCTCAGGCATGAAGTCCGTTGCATGACTGGCTTGATTTAAGGGTAGAGGTTTGGAGGGGTCAGGCATTTTGCTATTTTTTTGAGGCAACCTTATTCCTGGTCCTCCTCTCTCAGGTCCCGGTCTGCCATCTACATAGAGTCATTTTGCCTGATGTTTATAGCTGGTCTCTGGAGGGAATGTGGTCTCAAGTGATTCCCAGAGGAAACCGCTGGAAACAATATTTGAACAGAAATGGTAACGAGAGCTTCAAACAGATCAGAATGGTTTCAGACATCTGAGAAATGTGGGTCAGTCTCCAAAGTGGACCTAAGGGCCCACGTAGTTGTGTGGTGATGGGCCTGTACTGGCCGCTGAGGAATGTCTATCCCCTTGCTATCTGTCCCGTGTAATTATTATATTTGTTCATGTGGATCCTGCTCTATGTTCCTAGGTCCTATCTCATCTTCCCTATCAGATGTTTAACTCTTTGTGGATAGATCCTTCCATGTCTCCTGTTGTCACTGGAACACCACCCGACATGCTCAGCACGGTGGCCGCTCTGTGGGCGGTCAACAGTGTCAGTGAGCTATGAAAAAAACAGGCCAAGTGGCATTTGGGGAAGTGGTTTCCCAAACATTGCCTGCCTCCTCTCCAGCCCCTCGTCCTGTTCACCTGTTATTCCAGTGACCAGACTCCAGTCAGAACCAGCCTCTCAGCTTTGGAAGCATTAGAATCTATAGTGTTCTCCTGACAAGAACATAGCCCTTAATCTCTAGGAACAAAAAAGGGATTGTGTTCTCCCTCCCCAGGTCTGGGCAGGCTGCCTAGGGTACAGTTGGGGTTCTGAGCACTGCTCAGTCTCCACCTCATCTAGTCCCCTCCCTACCGCAGTGCTACCACAGGGTCACCGAGACTGCTGTGGGCAAGTGTCCATCCATCCCTGACAACCAGTGATACAGGCACCTGACTGGATGTCTCACATCCTGCCTAAAACCACTACCCTTCCCCTCCCCCACATCTTTCTAAAAAAAAATTTCCTCTAATATGTAGTCTTTCAAAGACACAGTGGAGGCACCATGCCTTTAGTACAACACATGTGCCGCCTGGGATGTGGCAAATATGGCCCTTATCTCCTTCCCCGGACTTTGCAGTCAAGTGCTCTACCCCTGAGCTATACCCCCTGGACTTTGGAGGTCTGCTCAGAGCCCACAGCTGAGAGAAGGCTGGAGCTGTTGTGGGCGAAGACAGGTCTGAGGGCGCAGGCATCTCCGTTTGGCACACACAGCCTGCAAAACTCCTTTCCCTGTGGGCTCTTGGGTGCCTCCAGCTGCCTGGGTCCTGCATACCTGTGGGCCTATGGGGCTCAAGGAGGCTTACTCAAACAGGCATGCAAACTCTGGCTAAAGTAGCAAACCAAAGGCAAGAGCAGCTGGGCATGGGCTGTTAAGGGGG